ACCTTGTTTCACTGGAGTTGTAGGGGAACATGAGGTCATGAAAGTGGCAAAAGCTACTGGAGGAGAGAGGGAGAGGAGAACACCTGTCCTCTGAACGTCTTCTAGCAGAACTCCCAGTATCCTACACACTCTGAATCATCCTGAAACAATCGGATGTGTCAGTCAGCACATCCTACTACTTCAATGACATCCACATCTATTGCTCCATTTTAAATTGCATTTCTTCAGTCAGCGATGGTGATCTACTGGTGAACATAGCTGCTTTCCATGCAATTAACCCAGGTTCAATACCCAGCCATTGCAGTTTGCCCATTTGTAAATCTCTCTAATCCAAAACTCCACACTTACCATTGAATTTGGCAGGAATATTCAACTGAGGCATTCAAGAAGGTATTGAATGATGTATTTGGACAGAAATGGTGCAGGTAAATGGAGAAAAAGTAGGAGATTGGCACTTGGTAACAATGAGCTGCTACAGGCATGATGGGCGATTGGCCACCTTCTACACTGAAACAATTCTGTGATTCAGTACTTGAGCTGTAAACTTGCATATATCTATATTAACACCTCCCAGCAAATTCAAATGAGGATAATCAAAAATCAGGATTAAATTGCGTGCTGCAACTAGATTTCAAACAGGCATGTCAGTACAGAGATCGATCCATGTTAGCATACAAAAGAAATGAAATGATATGGGAAAAATGAGGCCAACTTTACTTGAAGTTAAACATCAGCCATAATCTTATTCAATTAAGGGAGAAGTTCAAAGGGATAAATGGCCTACTTCAATTCTTTCTTTATTAACATAGTATTCATTTAGCATCTGTATTTCCTGTCATGTATCAAAGTTAATTTCCTTACCTTTCTCATTAAACAATTTTCAATTCCTTATTTAACAATTTAACCCTTGGTTTCATTTTAATTTTTATTTGTGTCCCCTTTTAAGTGAGATGTCCACAAAATTCTGAAAAAAAATGTACTATGAATTTTAACTACCATTAGGATTCTGGTGGATAATTTCTCCGTATCTTTCAGTTCTGAAGAAGAATCCTACTGGACTCAAAAACATTAACTTTGCTTCTCTTTCCAAACTCTGCTGCAGAGTTTCTCCAGCACTTTCTGTTCTTGTCTTTGTTCAGGCTGGGAAGTCTTCACTTTCTTTCACCTGGCATCTGCTGGCACCTACAGCCTGAAGGACTGCTCACAGGTCAATGTTGTCAAACCTTATGCTTGTCTGATATTTCTCCCTTCTCGCGATCATCTGTGGAAAGACAATGAAAGTTACTAGGATGATACTCCATATTTCTCTATCATCAGGGTTATTCTTGAAATTCATTTGACTCGTTCTTGCCTGCCAAAGTTCCTGAAATCTTTCCAACAGTACATGCATGCATCAGTTAATAGAAATTGACACTCACCCGTTTCAATGCCTCCATATGTTTAAAAGAAACACCACAGTTTTCTTCCTTCATTAAAACCTTTATCTCTGGTGCACCTGGCTGTTGCATGCCAGAAGGTTCTTTAAGTGAGTGGTCATGATCTCCTACCAGGTCACAGCCTGGCAGCATGGTGCCCTACATACTACCCACCATTAGGCAAGCAGCACACCTTGAATGAAGCTCATTGGCCGAGAACCTGCTTGGCATTTTAATTGGCCGATTTGCCATATAATAACACATTTCTCATAGGTGTGGCAAGAGTTGATGATGTGTGCTAGATTAGACACCCATCTACCACAATGAGCATTAAGTTTCGGCTCAGTGAGTGCTCAATGTATGAAACAGGTTTTCAGCTGGGGTAGTTGGAACAAAAACCTTGGAATTATTTCAGGTGCACTGTTCCTTTAAATCAAGTATCTTTGAAGATGGGCAGTCATCCTTATACAGGGTAATGAGAGTTGATGGTATGGTGAGATATGTGTTAACAGAGCAAAGGAGAGGTCCATGGAGCTTACTTATGAATCCTGTCATGTACTGGGGAGGAATGAGAGCCTATATGTTGTTCATTGTAAAATGCAAACAATGAGTAACATCTCACGCTATTTCTATCTACTGTATTTATATGGTGAGTCTACCTCAGTTTCTGTTATTGCTATTGTTAAACACCAGGATGTTGACAGTTGGGGGACACAGCGGTGGTAACACCATTGCAAGTCAAGGGTTAATGGTTAAATTCCTTTATTGGAGACAGTCATTGCTTGCTGTTACTACGTTTGGACATGGACTGCTTCAGTATCTGAGTTGTTGACTCAGATTCCTTTTGTGATAATGGCCCAGATTTTTCTGTAGAATGATATTCATTGAGGCAGCCTAAACAGGAACTTGTGTTTTGAGATTATACTGAAGTCCTGATGCAGCTGATTTCATGGGAATTGCGTGGGAACTTCTGTGGGGAATTACCTTGTGTCATGAACACTTCAAAAATGTCCACATCTCCAAGTCAAAGTCTGAGACACCAGATGGTTCTCTCTTATTCTCCTGAGGTTATAGGATAAAAATCTGCTTCTGGCCATCTGTAAAACTGAATTCCTGTTGACTCCCCAATCATAGACCACCCATCCCCGACTTTTGACCTGAAATCCCTCACCCACTTACATGGTACCTGTACCTTAATCTACCTGGCACCCTAACCCCACTCACTCTTTTTTTTAATCTCACTGCCTTACCCACCTTGCACCCTACTCTCTCATTTACCTGCTTACACACTTACCTTCCTTCAGTAGCTGTACAAGTGGCTTTAGAACATATAAATAACAGCATCTGCTGCTGCAAAGGAGTAAAGTTTCAGTGCTGATCCACTCCATGGCTTGTCATGAGGATTCCTGCAGTTGTTGATGCTGGGATGGTTCCACATTTGCCCGTAAATCTACTTCAAAGATAAATGGACAACTTTTAGCCTGATCTGGGACTGAAATTGGAATTCTGCAATTTGGAATTCTGAAATTGGAATAGTACTATATAGTCACTGACTCCTGCAACACTTTTGTTTAACTTTATTTTTACCACAGAGACTATTTAATATTGTTCTCATGAATTTTATTGTAGGATATCAAATTATATCTTTATTGCAGATGTGTTGGACAGCTTTGGTAGGTGACATGATCAAAAAGTATGCAGCAAAAAAATGAAAGGCTGAAAATGAAAAGTGAATGTTTCTAGCTGGGTGCCAAAAAATGTAGATGCATTGTAAATACCTCCTACAGACTGTTGATTTTGTCAATTATTCACAGGATTTTTCTTCTGCCTCTCTGAAAGGTTTCATCATATTTCAAGACATGATACGAGGAGAAGATATTATTTCTTTCCCTATAGTTCTCGAATAAATAAAAATACAAAGATTTTAAACATTAGAAGAATTGATATGAAAGCAAATGAAGCTGTGATTATTGAAATAAAAAGCAGGCAGATCTAATATTTCAGATCTAATATTTCAGGTCAATTATGTCAAAGTTCGCTGATAGAATCAAATTACAAAATGATTCGTAGTGGGATTTCTATTCTGCTTGTTTCCAGTAGGTACTGTGTATCCTGGATAGAAGCAAGTTAGATACAGTTACAGTTTTTAACTGGTTTCAATATAGAGGTTATACAATAAAAGGAACTTGAACCAATTGCCATCACAAGGGAAAATGTACTGAGCAATTTATTGGATTAAAGGTAGTTACATCCCTGGGGTCTGCATTCTTGGGTTTTAAAGGAAGTGACAACAAAAATAGTGGATGCTTTGGTTATAATATTCCAAAATTCCCTGGATGCTAGAAAGGTCCCAATGGATAGGAAGCATGCATGCATTATATTCAACATGGTGCTCAGTTACGAGTGGTGTACCATAAGGATCTGTTATCGGTCCTCTTCTATTTGTCATTTTTGTAAATGATTTGGAGTAGGAGTGGAAGGCTGTATTAGTATTTTCACGGACGATACGAAGGTGGGTCGAGTTGTGGATGGTGCAGAGGGCTGTTCTAGATTACAAAGGGACATTGATAGGATGCAGAGCTGGGCTGAGAAGTGGCAGATGGAGTTTAACCCTGAAAAGTGTGAGGTGATTCATTTTGGAAGGACAAATTTGAAAGCAGAATACAGGGTTAACGGAAAGATTCTTGGCAGTGTGGAGGAGCAGAGGGATCTCGGGGTTCATGTCCACAGTTCCCTGAAAGCTGCCACCCAGGTGGATAGAGTTGTTAAAGCGTATGGTGTGTTAGCTTTCATTAATAGAGGGATTGAGTTCAAGAGCCGTGAAGTTATGCCCCAGCTATACAAAAGCCTGGTTCGGCCACATCTCGATATTGTGTCCAGTTCTGGTTGCCTCATTACAGGAAAGCGTTGGAAAAGGTGCAGAGGAGACTTACCAGGATGTTGCCTGGAATGGAGGGAAGGTTTTACGACGAAAGGTTGAGAGAGCTAGGGCATTTCTCTTTAGAACGATGAAGGATGAGAGGTGACTTGATAGAGGTGTACAAAATGATCAGAGGTATAGATAGAGTGGACAGCCAGAGACTTTTTACTAGGGTGGAGGTAGCTATTACACGAGGGCATAGTTTTAAAGTGAGTGGAGGTAGATATAGGGGAGACGTCAGAGGTAGTTTCTTTACTCAGAGAGTGGTAGGGGTGCGGAATGCATTGCCGGAGAGGTTAGTGGAGTCGGCCTCACTAGGGGCATTTAAGCGGCTATTAGATAGTCATATGGTTGATAGTATAAGGTAGGGGTGGACGTTAGATAGACCTTAGGATTAGGGTAAAAGTTCGGCACAACATCGTGGGTCGAAATGCCTGTACTGTGCTGTACTGTTCTACGTTCTATGTTCTTTGCTAATTTAACTCCTTCATTCAAAAAGGGAGGATGGCAGAAAATAGGAAACTGTAGACCAGTTAGTTTACATTCTGTCATTGGAAAATTGTTGGAATCCGTTACTTAAAAAGTAGCAAAGGGACACTTGAAAAATCAAAATGCAACCCATCAAAGTCAGCATGGTTTTATGAAGCATAAATTGACCAATTTACTGGAGTACTTTGATGATGTAATAAGCAAAGTGGAAAATAGGGGTCCTGTAGATATTGTATTTCTGGTCTTCCAGAAGGTATTTGACGAGGTGCTGCGCAAAAGGTCAATACACAGGGTAAGATTACATGGGTTAATGTAATTTTATTAGCTTGGACAGAGGATTGTCTAATCAACAGAAAGCAGAGTCTGAATAAATAGAAACCAAAAGAACTGCGGATGCTGTAAATCAGGAACAAAAATAAAGTTGCTGGAAAAGCTCAGCCCATCAGGCAGCATCTGTGAAGGAAAAAACTGAGTTAGCGTTTCGGGCCCTTCCTCAGAACTGAATAAATGGGTCTTTTTCTGCTTGGCAAACTGTGACTAGTGGAATTCCACAGGGTTTGGTCCTTGGCCCTCAACTATTTACAACCTATATTAATGACTTGGATGCAGTAGTAGAAGGTATTACCACCAAATTTGCAGATGTCTCTAAAATAAGTGGGAAAGTTGTGATGAAGAAATAAATTTATAAATGGATTGGGATAGGTTCGAAGAATGGGCCAAAATTTGACAGATGAAGTTTAACTTGAATAAGTGCGAAGTTACCCATTTTGGTTGGAAGAATAAAAAGGCAACTTATTATCTAAAATGAGAGAAACTTCAGGGTGCTTCGGCACAGGAATATATGTATCCTCACACATGAATCACAGAAAATTAGTATGCAGGTACAGCAAGTAAGAATGAGGGCAAAGAGGATTTTGGCATTGCTTGCTAAAGGAATGAAGTGTAAAAGTAGGGAAGCTTTGTTGTAACTGTACAAGGCACCTGGAGACTGCATCTGGAGTATTGTGTACAGTTTTGGTCCCCTTATTTGAGGAAAGATGTAATTCCACTGGAGGCAGTTCAGGCAAAGTTCACTAGGTTAATTCCAGAGATGAAAGGCTTGTCTAATGAGGAGAGCATGAGCAGTGCAGGCCTATACTTGCTAGAGTTTAGAAGAATGGGAGAAGATCAGATTGAAGTATATAGGGTGCTAAAGATGATTGCCAAAGTAGACATAGAACGGATGTTTCTCGTGGTGGTGCAGTCTAGAATGAGAGGTCATGCATTCGGGCTAATGCATGGCAACTTTAAAACAGATCAGCAATTACTTCTCTTAAAGATTTGTGAGTTTGTGGAATTCACGACCCCAGAATGCAATGGATACTGAAACATTAAATACATTTTGTAGAGGGGATAGAAAGATTCTTAATTAGTAACAGATTAAAGAGTTATGGGGAGCCAGTAGGAAAGTGGAGGTGAGACTGAGTTGATAACAGCCATGATTGTATTAAATAGCGGAGCAAACTTGAGCAGCTGAATTGCCCAGTCCTGCTTTTATTTCTTACGTTTTTGTGTTCTAATAATTCTGGTTATGTACGAATACCCCTGCTCTCTGTTTTCCATTAGCCTAGGTCTAAATCTTTTAACTTTTGTGACAACCCTGGGAATAGTGGTTCTTTGATTTCCAGAGTCCTACCCTATTAGGATACGTGACACAAACAAAACTGGAGTCAATAGGAATTACGAAATTCTCAGCTGGTTGAAGTCATACAAATCACAAAGGAAGATGACTGAAAAGCGAGTCTGCTGAAGAAACTTGTGCCTGCATCTTTGGAGAGCGAAAAACAGCATTAATATTTTGGGTTCCATATAACCTTGCCTTTCAGAAATGAAAGAAGCTGGAAAATGTTGGTTTTTTTGTTGTGCCATTGCCAAAGGGGAGAAAGGCAAAACTTTTAGCAGTGTGAACTGTTTTTTTTTCCCTTTTCCCATGTAACATTTTTACATTTCTTTTTACATATCTAAATCTCCATCGCCTCCCTTTGTCCTTTCATCTGAGCCCACTCCCCATCTATTCCACTTGCTTCTCCTCCCTTTTAAGACTAGTTTGCTCCGACCAGCCCAGTCTTAAATGCACCTACCTCACCCAACAACAGGACTGCCATACCCATGACACTAGGCCCTTCCCTCCTCTGCTTTTATGCCTTCCCTCCCTGCCACTTACAGCCTTCTTTGCTGGCTTGTTCCTTCCTTCTCCCCTATTTCCCCACCATGTGCCCTCTTTGCTGCTACCACAGACTCTCAATCAGCACCTTTTTGAACAATGCTAAAAGAGTAAAAGTTACTCACTCGAACTCCAGCAAGTTAACTACCCCATCTGCCCCATGTCAGTCATGAATCTGAGGCTTTGGAATAGTGTACTTAAATTTGGTGAGACTGCTGGTGCCTAGGAGGACCGTAAAACTATTTAGCTGGTTCTCATATTGCCCTCCCACCTGCCTTTAACCTGTCTGCGATCTTATGAAGGGCAGGTAAAGCCTAGTGTGATGTACCTGAATTCAATTTTGAGATTTGCTTGATTGTCATGTTTGATAGTCCACTAGTGTGACCAGTCTTTCCATGGGTTAATGCATTATCGCAAAGGCCTTCAGCATTGTTACTCACATTTGAAACAAACTCCTCCAACTCTCTGATAATGTGAGCTGTGCATCTGGAACACATGTCAGCACATCAAACACTCTTTTCTGCTGTTCTGCTGCTCCAAGAGTATCCTATTCTTCAATAGACCTCAGGTTCAGACCTGCTTTCAACTAAACAAATATTCCTGGGCCCTCTGATGCAGACTGTCGAAGAAGGCTGTGAGTGGCAGGGAGGGAAGGCATAAAAGCAGAGGAGGGAAGGGCCTAGTGTCAAGGGTATGGCAGTCCTGTTTTTGGGTGACGTAGGGGCATTTAAGACTGGGCTGGTCGGAGCAAAATAGTCTTAAAAGGGAGGAGAAGTGAATAAGCATCTCTTATTCACTTACCATGTGTGAGTCACCAGGTGCAAAGCCAACTATCTTCCTTAGCATGAGAAAAAGTATGAGAAAATATGCTGCTGTATGGTACGTGTCTGCTGATGGTTCACCTTCGGATTGAATGAACTCTTTGAAGGAATCATCGTCAAACTCCTGGACCACATCCCACAGGGCATTTGGCGACACTGTGAAAAATTAAAGACGTACATTAGAATTGTCAGGTTAAAGATATCTTGAGCTTTTGCTATGTAAATGGTAATTTCTGCTGCTATCAAGTGAACATGTGAGTGCTATATACCATGTGGTTTTCTGATATTTAATCTGTCACTAGGAGGCTGGGAGGTCCACATATGATAGTTACAGGCTGATATTTAGCAACTTGTCTGCAGCTGTGACTTGAGAGTTTCCTTAAAAATTCATTCACATGAATGTGGGCATCACTGGCTAGGCCAGCAATTATTACCAATCCCTAGAGGCCAATTGAGAGTCTGCCATACTGCTGTCAGCTTGGAATCAAACGTAGGCCAAACCACAGCAGTTTCTTTCCTTAAAGGACATTAAGAATCCAGGGAGACTTTTCCTGTCAATTGGCAACAGTTTCACGGTCATCGTTAAACTCTTAATTCCAGATTTTTACTGAGTTCAAATTCCGCAGTCTGCTATGGCAGGATTCGAGCCTGTGACCCATGACCTCAAGGATTGTTTCAGAAATATTGATACTTTTTCATGAACATGGATTTAAAAAGTCAAAATGTGGAAGCCATATTTAAACCTAGCTCGACTCTGTAATTTGCAAACTGCAAAGCTGGAAATAGACAGTATTCACGCTGTCAGGCTTCGGACAATTCCTGTCAAAACCAGACAGGCCTAGAACTGCCAGGCTAGATGCTAACGGCCACATTGTTTCACAACGAACTGCTATTACACCTCCAGTGAACTGGCTTTGTCCAAAGAATGCTATGTGACTTGATGGCACCCAGCTTAGTAAGAGGACAGAAACATGTAGCATAACAGTGCAGCACTTGATAGCTGAAGGTTCAAAACCATGTTCTGCAGCCTCCAAATGTGGAAAGTAGTCAAGTTATTGGATCTTCCTGCCCCTACCTGATGCTAATATGGGACACAAACCACAGAATCTTTGAGAAGGGTGCAAAGAGGGAATAAAAGGAAACCTTGAGCTGCTTCTACCTCATGGTGAGCATAATCAGACTGACCAGATCCACAGAGACCACCTTGATGAGACGACCTGAAGATGAACCAGCTCTGGACTAGAAAGGAAACCCAGATTCTGAATCAGCAGCCAACCCTCAAAGACCGAGAAACTGCCTGTCCCAGCCTTGTTGAATGGATGTTACCAGTCTTTTCAGACAAACAGTTCAAATACAGCAGTAGGAACTGGTGGATAGGGTGGAGCAAATCCTTGGAAATGCATGTCAGAAGTATTCACCACCATTCTAGGTTAGATTTCAAACAACAATGAGACAGAATACAGGAAAGACATTGTATGCTTAGTGGCATGCTGTAAAGACAACCAATGTTAGCAAAGTGAAGGAGCTGGTCATTGACTTTAGGAAGTGAAGTGGAGGGCAGACCCCTGTCTGCATCAATGGCGCTGAGGTGGTTGAGAACATCAAGTTCCTGGGAATGATGATCACCAACAATCTATTCTGGTCCACCCACATCAATGTGATGGTCAAGAAAGCACAACAATGAATCTGATTCCTCAGGAGTCTAAGGAAATTCGCATGTCCACAAAGACTCTTACCAATTTTTATAGATACATTATAGAAAGCAGTACTGAAGAAGGATCACCGGACCTGAAACGTTAACTCTGATTTCCCTCCACAGATTTTCCAGCAATTTCTGTTTTTGTTTCTGATTTCCAACATCCACAGTTCTTTCATTTTTTTTTATAGAAAGCATCCTATCTGGATGCATCGCAGCATGGTATGGCAACTAAACTTCTCAAGACCACAAGAAGCTATAGCAAATCATGAACACAGCCCAGTCCATCATGCAAACTAGCCTTCCAACTATTGACTCCATCTATACTTCCTCCTGCCTTGGGAAAGCAACAAACGCCCCTCAACCCGGTTATACTTTATTCCAAACTCTTCTGTCGGGCAGAAGATATAAAAGTTTGAATATACATACGCACAGATTCAAGAACAGCTTCTTCCCAGACTTTTGAACGGACTTCTTATATGTTAATTCCGATCTCTCTGTCTGTCCGCCCCTTCTCAGTGGCTGTAACACTGTATTCTGAACTCTGTTCTGCTATACTGATGCACTTTGTATGGTATGATCTGCCTGTACAGCATGCAAAACAACACTTTTCATTGATCATTTTCACATATACTGAGATACAATCAATCAATAAATCAATCAAATCTGAACTTTAGATACTCTGCATAGCGAAGGAGAAAGTTACTTAGACAGTTTGTTCCAGGAGGTAGTCACACCCTTTAGTGTAAGTATTTCTGTTTTGATCCTTGGTCAGGGTCAGCTCAACATGATTACAAGTAAGGCAGACGTGTGGATCTGGAAGTTAACAATGGAAGAGTCACCAGATTCAAAGTTCTTGCAACATCTATGGACTAGCAGAGGTACTGCCGAATGTGTAAGCAAACTGACCATATCACTATGTTGCGGGGAACTGTTCAAGTGGGAGCAGTAAAAAGTACTTGGAGAGTTGTAGTAGGAGAGAGTATAATCAGGAAAACAGATATGGTTCTCTGTGGCTGAGACCATGAATCCCAAAGGCTATGTTGCCTGTCTGATGCCAGGGTATGGGCAAGTCCACATCGAAGAAATTGGAGTGGTCCATGTGGATGCCAATAATTTGGTTTGAGCTAAAAAAAGATTCTGCTGAGGGAGTGTGAACAATTAGGGATTATAATTTAAAAAGCAGAACCATAAACGTAATAAACTCTGGATTGCTGGCTCAGCAATGAGAAAAATAGCATACTGCAAAAAGGATCAGAGAGTTGGTTTAAAGGTTTGTGTGGGAGAAATGGGTTTGATCCATGGTATACCAGCACCAGTACTGGGGAAAGAGGGAGGATGCAGGGACCAGTCTCCTGGTAAGTCCTATAAGTAGGGCTGTGGAGGTAGATTTTAAACTAAATAGTGTGTAGGAGGGTTCATATGAGAAATTTGGAAAAGAGAAGGACATGGGAACAAAGCAGGGTAGTATTGCAAGTGGTCATAGCTAGTGTGTAACAGAGCTCACATATATAAAAGTGCATCAGCAAATATGGTCAGTTTAGTGGAAGAGGCTTCATGTGAAAGATGAGGAAAGTACATCAGGGTTGTAAATGCAAGTGAGTGGGACAAAAGGGACAGAGAGTGTGATGGTAATAATGTGCCAGGAAGGTGCATGCAAAGATTAGTAGTAATATAAAATTGAAATCATTTCATCTGAGAAGTTGCTATAAAATAGATGTACTCATGGCACAAATAGAGATTGATCTAATCAACAATAGAGACATGATTAAAAGATAATTAAGGTTTGGAAATAAATATTCCAGAATACATACAATCTTGAAATGACAGACAGACGGGAAAAAGAGGAGGAGTAACCCTGATAATAAAGGATGACATAAGGACATTGATAACAAAACAAAATATCAGGAAATCAGATTAATAAGAGGAACTGCGAGGCACCAAAACAGCTGATAGGAATAGTTCATATTCGCAACAGTAATTATGCTATTGACAGGCATTAAACAAGAAATTATCAGAGAACATGACAGGGAAAATGTAATAGTAGTGGGGACTTTGACTCTTCGTTTAGACTGAACCAAAGGAGCAGCCATATCGCTATCAATGGTACCGGCTGCAACAGCAGGGCAGACACATTGGAACAGAGGTTTAACTCAAAGGAAACAATGTGGGGTATAAAGACTGAGGATCAGCTTTCTCAACATTGTGAGCAAGAGTGTCAAGAAGCTTGGGATTTTGCAGCAGGTCGTTGCTGGCAGGTTGAACGTCTGGGAAGAAGACTAATTTTCCAGGTGGGCAAATACTGACAGTAGCTGTCAAAGTCAGCACCAATGTCTTTGCCTCCAGATCCTGCTGTCTTTATTGCTACATCTCAACCTGCCATTGGCAACTTGAAATTTTGCACCAAATTCAGTCACCCTGAACACCATGCTTTTGTAGGCTCTGTAAAATCCACCCACTTACATGTTTAATTTAATAAATAAATGTAAGATTAAGTAAAGATTGGCTTCAGTCCTATCTTTTGGTTTTTCTTACATAGAAAGGTTCAGCCTGCCAAGCATCAAGCCATTTCTTTCCAATAGCAATTCATCTAGTTCCATTTACCTGCTTTTTCTGATAACCCATTGAGTTTTTGCAGATGTTATTCAGGTATCCTGGACAGATCTTGGAGCAGCCTTCAATATGCAACAGCAACAAAATCCAGAATACCACAGATGCTGGAAATCTGAAATCTAGAGAAGGAGACATATTGGATTTGAAATATGAACTATTTCTCTATCCACAGATGCTGCCAGACCTTGCTGAGTTTGTCTAGAATGTTAATGGTTTCCTTTGCCTGTGCTGAGATTACCAAACTGTTGAGGACTACTGCATTCTCAGAGGATGGGAAGAAGAGGGGAATGAGGAGGAGTAGATGAGGTAAGAATGATGCTTTTCACCCTGCTCCCAGAGAAATCAGCACTGGAGTCACTCAGTCATCGTTCAGCTAACCTGAATGTAGGAAGCCAAGTGTCACAATAAAGCTGTACTAATGCCCAACATCGCTCCCTCCTCCCCAACCCATGCTAAATATAGGTCATTTTCCCAAGCAGGAAGTCCTCCATTTACATTCTTTGTTAATCTTCCTCTCTGGTCTTCCCATTGTCCTGAAGCCAGGAAGCAGCAATGGCCAATAGAATTTGAAATAAAGCAGGTGTCTTATTTGCCTTTCACAATAAATTAAGACATTAGCAACTATCTGATCACACAAATAAATCCTTTCTTTTTACCTCCATGTAGTGCTACCCTATGACTGCAGTGGGGCAAAAGCATTTTGGGGGCCTGAGTGTTTGCCAAAGACTGCCTCACCTGCAACTGTTGCAAGGGCAGATATGGGCAGGAGGAAGTCTGTGACTTTCTGACAAGGCAAGGGTAGAGAATTGGGAATGCTTCCAGTGAAACCCCCTTCCGTTTACTCTTT